AAATGGCTTTTCCTCTCCTTCAGCCCCTGGACCACGGGCTTGGGGTCCAGTCTTTCTCCTGGGATGATCCAGCATTGCCTTCTCCATCCTCTTGAGCCCTGCTCCAGGACTGGCAACAGCAAACCCCAGCCAGAGCCATCTCCCAGCAAGGCAAACCCTGCTATAAACGCTCTCCACAAAGGGACTGTGCTTCTTCCATGGCCCAGCCATTAGAAGCTATTTTTACCGGCTTCCACACGCACAGATGGGCCAGAAACAATCCAAGCTCAGCACCCGTTATGCTTTGCCCAAAAGATTTGCTCCCTGCTTTTGCTGAGCTGCCAAAACAGTTGCAAAAGAGCAGGTAGAAGTGGGTAAGTGATGGCCAGGCAGCTGCCGGAGCGTGCTGTGAGCAGCGGCTGGGGATGACAATAGAGAGATGGAGAAGAGTTATTCATGTTTCCCCGAGAGCCCAGATCAGTTGAAACATCCTTTTCCTCGGGGACGGAGAGGAAAGAGCTCCCTTCAAACACATCGTCCCGTGAGACTCATTAAAGGCTCATCAATTACAGTGAGAGCAAACAATTCAGGGGAAAGCTCTGATAAGCTTTCCTCCGGCCCGGCACTCATTAGTGGCTCTCTGAGCTGCCTCTCCCCGGCACCAGCACCGCCAGAAAGGGAGCAGGGGGGCAAAGCCAAGCCCGTGGGGGGATAGGCAGCAGTGGGATGGCTTGGAACCCGGCAGGATGGGACCAGCAGAGCATCCCTATGGCCATGCAGAACATCCTCATGGAGAGCAGTGTGCAGGCTGCGCTGGAAAGAGGCTTGCAGGGGAGTTTTTAAGTTTTTAAGGAGTTCAGGGCAGTCAGTGTTGTCTCAAGAGGCACAAGGGGATGGAGCAGCTCTCTAGATCCCCACCCCAGTTCCTCCAGCAGTGTCACTGCATCAGGCACGACGATGTGCCAGCATCCCATGGCTGCCCCATCCCTGCAGGAAGGGAAAGGAGGGATGAGGAGATGCTCTTTGCCTTTCCCTGCCTCACTTCCCTGCTCTGCAAGTGGGGTTGAGGACAGAAAGTGGCGTTGTAAAACAAGCAAGAATCCTTGGAAAGAAAACAAAGGGCTGGGATGGCTTTTTAAAATCACTTCAAAAGTCATTATTAATGAAAGCTCAGGGAAAGGGGCTGTTTTCCAACTCCCAGCACAGAGGGAGGTTTGCTGCAGGTTTGCTGCACTCACCCCCTTCCTGTGTGTGGGCATCTCCTTCCCTCACACGTGGGCTTGGCACCAGACACCTCTCCAGCAGCTCGCTGCTGTGACCTCCAGGATGCTGACGTGGAGAATTGCAGAAAAGTGTTCTTTATGGCTGAAAAAAAAATTTTAAAAAAAAAAAAAAAAAAGAAGAAAGGGAAAAAAAGGACAATTTCCTGTAAACTTTCCTTGGCGCTCCAAGCTCCGTGATGTTCCCTGGTGGAGGCATTGGCAGCATCAGAACCACACTGCACCACTCTGAGGAAAGCTGAATGACCTGCACTGAAATAAACTCATAAATACCCCTTTGTGCAAACTGTAACATCTTGGGGCACACATTGCTCCGGCCACTCCTGCTGGGAACAGTGAGAGCCGGTTTTTGTTGAGCGCCAAGTGCAGTGGTGTGAGCTCCTGCCAGCCTGGTGCAGGATGGGTGTCCCCGGTGCCCGAGGGTGCTGGGACTGTTCCCCATCCCTGCTGACCCTCCACAGGCTCTGAATGCCCACTGAGAAACTGTCAGCACAGCCTCGACCCACGAGCCACAGAGGAGAAACACTCCCAGCTCCCCAGGTCTCTTCCAGAGCCAGAGAAACCATATTGCAACCAGCACTTTTCTGGAGCAGCCCCGGGGCTGGAGCGGGGCCATGGCTTCCTTCTGCAGGACACAGCGCAGGTGTCTGCCCCGCTGCTGATTTTTAAGCCTCATTGCTAAGTCGCTCCTAACCTTTCCCTTCATCCTCTCCTGCCTGCCATGGCTGGGCGCCGAGGAGGATGAGCAGGAGGAGCAGCTCCCACCCAGGGGACTGGGCTAATGCCATTTACTCCAGTCTGCACCAGCTGAGTCTTGGCTGGGGAGAGGCAGGCACAGACCATCGGTGTGTCCTTGGGCTCTGGGCCCAGAGGAGGAGGCACAGAAGTCTGAAGAAGGGGTTGAAGCTGATCCACACAGCCCAAGCTGCAGGAAGGCCAGGATGCAGAAACCTCTGCCCAAAACGGGGCTGGCTGAGGGTGCTCGGCTGTTCCCCATTAAATAATGCAGCCTGATTGATTGGGCTGTGCCTCGGGGTCAGCCTGCTGGGGTTACAGTTCCCTGCTTAGATTGATGATCCTCAAAGGTCGAACTCAGAAAGCAATTCCCTGGTAAAATTGATCCTTGGGATAACAAAACTTTTGCACAGTGGCAAAGCGCCTAGCAGTGAGAAAAATCAGAGACCTGGGCACAGGCAGGCAAGGTGAACACCTGCCTCTGCTTCCTCTTGACTTAGCTTTCCCTGTTTACACCGATTAGGAAGTGAGGGTCTCCCCTGGGAAGAGCAGTGCTGTATCACACCTGGCTGGGGGACATCCATGAGCTCCCTCCTTGTCCCCATCCCCCTGGGCAGGAGGGAGCTGGGGCTGTCCCAGGAGCTGGTGCTGGGCTCCCAGCCCTCCCCAGCAGCGAGTTATGTGTGTGTGTGTGTGTGTGTGGAGCAGGCTCTCCTGGCTCGGCAAGCCTGGGTCCCACTGCGTGGAGGAGGATTTGTAGCTGGAGCCAAATTAATGGTGAACGGGTCTCACCCTCCTGCCCTGGGAGCCAGAAGCACCCCAAAATGTCTGCTTGGCTCCTGCCAGGAGCAAGGGAGTGCCACATGTGGAAGGGGTTGGTTGAGGCTGCCTCAGGCCACCACGGGGACCAAGTGGTGGCCACCCAGAGCTGATGTCCCCACTGTGACTGGTCAAACACTGCAGCCAAGCACCACGCTCCACCTCATCCCAAACTTCAGGGAAAACAAGGGGTGTGACAGGCCCTTCCATCCTTGTTCCCACTCCCCTGGGGCTCCTAAACCCCCCTAGGCTGGATGCTGAGGCTGTGCCCCATCCCCTCACCCCATCAGAGGAGGAGGGAGGAGAGCTGCAGCTCCCGAAGCTGATGCTCTGTTCAGGCGGGGCCCAGAGCAGCAGTGCTGAGGCTTTGACCTGCTTTAACCTGCTTTAACCCACTATCTCGGCTGCTTTGCTCTCGCCTGCTCGTTTTGAAGCGAGAGAAGGAGGCCACGCTGTGTGGACACTGAATAATTCAGAGCCAGGCTCCGCAGCACCCTGGGGCTGGGCAGCGCCTCTGCCACAGGCTGGGACAGCTCAGCCCAAACCTTCCCTCACCAGAGCCAAAGGGGACCTGCAGCATCTGACATTCAGCATCCCTGTGGCTGTAGGCACCAGCCAAAGCCACTTCCTTCCCCTGGATGCTGGGACTCGTGGCTCCCTCCCAGAGCAGCAGTGCTCCTGCTTTCAGCCGTGACGCTGCATCTCCAGCCCTCACTCACACAGGCTTTCAAGTGGAGCATGCTGAGCGTGTCTGCCTCTGCTCCCTGGGCCACGTTTTCTTCTTTCCTCCCCTTTCAGAGGAGGAAAAATTCCCTCCTCTGCTGCAAAATTCCCTCCTCTGCTTGGTCAGACACAGGGCAGGGTTGTAAGACGGGGAGAGATTGTTCATCCAGCTTATGCTTAGCCTCTGAGCGGGGCTTGCTAGAATTAAGGGCAGGGAGGGGAGGGAGGGGAAAAAAAGAAATCATACATGAGGTCAGCTTATGCAGCCATGCGTGAGGAGAGCACAGCAAAGGCGGGCTCAGAGGGGCAGGCAGGTGGCTGGGGGGCTTGGGGGGCTCCAAGGCACAGGGGGAGAGGCACCAGGACCAGCAGCCAGACTCCCAGCTCCCAGCCTATTCCAGGCTGTTTATCCCAGTGCAGACAGAGCACCAGGAGCAGCAGGCCATGTTCCCTCTGTGTTCTCTGCAGGCAGTTCATTCCCTCAGCTCTGCATCTCCTGAGCCCTGTGAAAGGAAACGCTGCCCCATCAGACTTCTCCACCCTGCACGGGAGGCACAGCATTACTGCTTTCTAATGCTTCTGAGAGTGTAAATTATTGCACAAAGCAGGGAAAACCATCGGGCCGTGCTAGGGATGGGCTGTCTGGAATGAAATGAGATGTTTTGGTCCCCAAAGTCTCTGTCTGATGGCCTCAGTTCAGGCCCAGGAGTCACCAGAGCCACGTGTGAGTTATGGGCTCATCCTCTGCGCTCTGCACAAGTCACCTCCGGAGTCTGAGCAACAGGAATTATTGTGCACAGAGATAATTATTCCCTGCACACTGCACTACAGCTCATTAAAAGTTTCTTAATGTTTGCAAATTGCTGAATAGCGTTTTTAGTTGTTGCCTTCTCTGATGAGGCGGGGACTAACTGGTGGTGGCTTGTTGTCTGCGTTATTTTGGTCACAGCAGGCTGGGGCTGTGCTGCACGTAGGGAAAAGGGTTTGTGCTGGGCAGCCTCACACCACGGGAGAAAATGGCTTTGGCACAGTGACAGGGGGCAAGGGCGAGTGCCACCAGGGTTAGCCCAGCTCCTCCATCCAAAGCCAGACTGCCTCCAAGTAAAAGCCTCCATCTGAGGTAATTACCCAGATTCCTGTAACAGCCTGACATGTGAGTGACTCCTTCCTGGTGTCTCAGCTGCAGATGTTGACCTGCCATTAAACAATCTGTGCTCCTCAGTCAGATACTGGGAGTGAAGCACCTCATCTTGGACGAGAGGCTGCACACCTGCCCTGGGTGAGGAGGTGGACACTGAACCCCAGCACAAGATACCTGGGGAAAACGGAGTTCAGTGAGAAAAACCTGCAGGAGGAACAGGGAAAGGGTGACCAGCCTGGCCTCAGCACATTTTCAGCACTACCCTGGGGACAAGGAGGAGCAGCAGCAACACCTGACAGCTCTTCCCTGTCTTCTTCCTCCAGGTGTAAATGCAACCTCCACGCCAACCTGTGCACCTTCAAAGAGGGCAGCCTCCAGTGTGAGTGTGAGCACAACACCACGGGCCAGGACTGTGGCAAGTGCAAGAAGAACTTTCGCTCCAGGTCCTGGCGAGCAGGGTCCTACCTGCCTCTGCCCAACGGGTCCCCCAATGCATGTAAGTGACCTGCAGGGATTACAATGCATGTTAGTGACCTGCAGGGAGCCAGCCCTGCCCTGGACTGCACCACACCACGAGTGGGAGTGGGTGCTCATCTTGTCCTTCTCCAGCTCGAATGGGTGCAGGATGCTCAGCTTCCCAAAGGAAATGGGTCCTGTCTTGGTGCACAGAGAAATAAAAGAGGATCTGGTGGATGTACAGATGTGCTGGCTGCTGGCAGAGGAGTGAATCTAAAGGATGGTCCAGAGCAGGGATGATGACTTTAGGCCAAAGATATAACCACAGCTTCGGGGCAATGCCAGTTATTGTCCTTTGACAAAGGCGATATTCAGCACAGCAGAGCTCTGGCTGCCGAGCAGCCCACGGGCTCAGTGCTGGCTCTGCTCAGCTGCAGGAGTGCTGGCTCTCCTCGTCTCTAGGAGTGCTGGCTGCTCTCTGGATGCTGCCCGTGCTCCGTGGTGTTCCTGTGAGCTGCAGTCCCCGTGCACAGCCCCAGCCTCCTCCAGCTGCCGCTGGCACACGGCTCTGACAGCGGTGGAGATGCATTCCCTCCATCCTCCAGGCAGGGAATTGGGGCAGGAGACATCACAGACGGGCCAGCTCCTCCTGGCTTCCTGTCCACTCCACGTTAGCAAACTTGTTTAAATGTCACAAAGCCACAGTAGCCACTCCAGCCTTTCAAGCAGCAGCTTTGAGCATTACCAAAGAGAATCTTTTCTCTCCCTCCCCCCAGATTTTTTGAAAGATTTATGTGCTTTAAGATGATCAAAGCTGAAATTCAGGCTCCGAAGGCTGTGACGGGAATGTTTTGTGTGTGCCAGGGCTGGTAGACGAGCAGGTTCTTTGAAAGGGAACGAGCTTGTCAGCTCCCACCAAGCGGCTGCATTGCTTCAAAGGAGCCTGGGAGAGTTTCTGGTGTTGACAGGCACAGACACGCTGTTCTCTCTCTTTCCCTCCCCTCCATTCCTTGTGTCTCTTCCTATTTCTCCTCTGCTTTCCTTCTCCCATTCGTCTCTCTTCCCATCATTCAGTCTTCTTCCTCCTCCTCACATCAACATCCTCTTCCTCTGCCCCAGAGGCAGCTCTCTGAAGCCCTCTGCTCTTAGTAGTCCTACCTCTTCTGTGCTTTATATTCATGCAGAGCTGAGACTTTCCATGATTCACCCACGTGTTACAGCAGGGAGGCCCAGGAGTGTGTTAAAATAAAGACTGGACATGGCACTCAGTGCCACGGTTTAGTTGATGAGGAGGTGTTAGGTCATAGGTTGGACTAGATGATCTTAAAGGTCTTTTCCAACCTGTTCATTCTGTGATTCTTTAGTCCCCTGCTCAGATCCTACAGCTTGTCCTTAGCCCAATGCTCCTGTGTGTTTGTCCTTTGCTGGGCTTTCACAGCAGGGCAGGGAAATGGTTAACAGAAAAACCCCCATCAGCAAGGACCACACTGCTTTTCCTTCCTCAGGTGAAAGGCTTGAGATGCCAGGAGCCCAGACGGCGTTGTCTGACTGTTCCTGTGCTTTGACAAAAGCAGCTTTTAATCTGTAGCAGCAAACTGATGTGCCTGTGAGCAAGCCCCCTCTAATTAGCTGCTGTTCAGTCCCATGTTGTGTGTCTGTGTGATCTTCTGATGGTGTCCTGCTTCCAGTGACTGGGCTTCCTCTTGTTTTTTCCAGGTGCAGCTGCAGGCTCAGCCTTTGGCAGTAAGTAAAACCCTGACTGAAATGCTGGCATTTAACACCTCGGTGCATGATCCTTGTGGATGTCACTAGGAAAAAAAAATATGGTTATTTTCTATCCATTATCATTTTCCAGGCAATAAGTCTTCCCTAATTGTGCCTCATTTTCTGTCCTGTCAAAGAGTCTTATATTTTCTTCCTCTGACTTCAGCAGCCTCATTTTGCCTCTTCCTCTGGCATGGTTTCCCCCCATGAGGTTCGTTAGTATGGCAGCTGGAAAGGAAATAATAAAAGACTCTTCAAAATCACCAATGCTGGCTGTGAACTCCCCCCTCAGCCCCCCAGTACTGCAGAATTCTGCTCTGAGAAGGAGCTGGGTGTGAATTATTTGGCTTAGAACCCAGTCTGGGTCACCTTGGGCTATCAATAAAAAAGCATATAGAGTGTGTGTACATCTGTATGTACACGTGTATGTATATGAACAAATCTGTGAGGTGTCAGCAGCAAAGGCAGAGCTCAGCAGGGATTTCTGCTGCAAGATTGATGGCAGGAGAGGGCTCCTAATTTAACAAAGCTGGAGGTAGTTTGATATCAAAGAGCCTGGAGTTTTGGTTAAGCAGAAACCCGGGTTTGAATGTTGTGGCTCAGAGTGCCCCTCCAGAAGAAACAAATCAGGGAGCTGAATGAATAATGAATTCCTTGGTTTGCAGGCAAGTGGGAAGAATTGGAGGAGGAATCATTCTAGGGAAATGCAAATGCCGTTAGGAAAAACACACCTAATAGAAAAGTGAAAGACAGGTTTTCTGGGTAAATGAACCGTATTTAGATATTTAGCAGTTAAGTGCTTGAAATTTTCAAACAAAAATTAAAAGTCTGCCTTAAGTAATTTAGGATTTAAAAAAAAAAGTTTCAACAGTACACAGTATTCTTCACCTTTCTCTTCAAAACCATTTTGATAACTTTTTTTCCTCCCATTTACAAAGCTTGGCATCCTCAGCACTACTTTTGTTTCCCTGGAAAACATTCCCCATCAAGATTTTCTGCAGGGCAGAAGCTGGGAGGGTGCTGGCAGCGATGTGCAAGAGGTGGACAGGAGGGATTTATGTGCAAGGCCAGTTAAGGAGAGATTATTTAGCCCACATAGGAGACTAGGAGTGACCTAAATTAAGTATTTAAACTAGCTCAGGGCTATTATGAAATTAAGCAAGATAATCTGCATGAAGCAGTGGGACAAACAAGGACAGGAGGGCAGCAGGTGTGAGTTAAGCAGGAATTTGTGTCCCAGTGTTATTTTAGTTGGGGGCAGTGGGGTGGGATCGCTCCTGCCCTGATTCGTGGGGGCTCTGCTGACCCCCAGCCACCCCAAAATTTGAAGGGTGCCACTGGAAACAAACACGTGCCAATGGTGCTGGTCGGCTTTGATGGTGGCAGGGAGTTGGGTGAGGGGTGGCAGCAGGGAATGTGCAAGGAGCACAGCTGGGACGTGGGAGCACAGCTGGGCAGGTGGGGGCACAGCTGGATCTGGGGGCTCCTTGGCACCTCCCGCCCGCTCCTCACCCCATCCCTGCCCAGACGTGCCTTCATCTCCCCTTTTCAGCTTAATTGGCAATTAGTTTATGATGGAGCTGTAAGTATTTAAGCCAATATCTGCACCAACAGAGTAAGCTGATACAGCCCCAGGCTGCAGCCCCTGCTCACACACACACACACACACACACACACGCCCTGGCTGCGTCACCCAGCCACCGTCACCTTAATCCTGCCGGTGTCCCAGTTGTGGCCGTGCTGAGAAATCAGTCCCCAGCCCAGCAGCAGCCTCACAGGTGTGCAGGCTGGCATGGAAACCCACCACTCCCCCCAGCAAGTGCACCCCAACTCTTCTCTTTGCTTGTCAGCGTACGAGCGACCGCAGCGAGTAAACAGCGCAAAAACCACCGCAAAAACCACCACCGCAAAAACCACCACCGCAAAAACCACCACCATCACCTCAACCACCACCTCAACCACCACCACAACCACCTCAACCACCACCACAACCACCAGCAGCACCCCCCTGCCAGCCACCACCACCCAGCCAGGTGGGTGCCGTGCTCCCTGCCCTGCTCACAAGCCAGGACTCTGCTCCCAGGCTCCTCCTGCAGTGTTGGTAGCTGTGGATCTCTGCTCTGTAGGATGATAAAAGAACATGGATAAAAATCACCCTGACTTGGTTCACTTCCCCCAGCCTCCAGGCAGCCCTGGTTTGCTGTTGTCCCCAGCACAGAGATGCTCTCACAGCTCCATGGCAAGGCAGGGCAGGAAAGCAATGAAGACTTTTCTGATCCATAATAAATTTAAACCACGTATTTCTCTGGAAGGAGAGGGGAATTGTACCTCATCCTGCCCTATCCCTGACCTCCTGCCACTTGCCACCAGACTCAGAGCAGCCCACAGGTTTTGCTCTGTCCTTGCTGGTTGCACCAAATCCCTGTGGCCAAACCCATGGATGTACTGCAGGTGCATTTTCCTAGGGCAGAATTCCAGCATTCCCCAGGTGGCCACTGTCCAAACAGCCCAGGATCGTGCAGAGCTGGAGCTCACACACGTGCCAGAAACATCCTTCCCTAATTTCTGAGATCACCCAGTGGAGGAAAACTTTTGTCCTTTTCCTGGGAGTTCTTCCTTCCCTCCCCCCACGAGCAAGGAGACAACGTTTTTCCTTGTCTTTTGGAAATGAGCAGATAAAACTTAACAGCAGGACATTTTTTTAAGCTGCTCATGGGGGAATTAGACACGCATTCCTCCCTTTGCCATGCTTTCAGGGCCTGATATTTCCCAGGAGGACGTTTTACACCCACAGCATGTTAGTAACAGTCTGTCTGGGGGAGCTGCCAGAAGCCAGTCAAAGGGATGAGGAAACTTGATTGCATGTTTATGCAAATATAGATATATTCATGGAAGTACCTTGCTTGAGGAGTTAATCAGGGAGCCGAGGGTTTAAGTCCAACTTCCATGGAGTTGGAGTGACCCTGGGAAAAGAGTGGAAGGCTCAGCTCTGTTAGGAAAAGCTCCTTACCCAGATCCAGGCTGTACCTGTGCAGCAGGAGGTTCATCCATCCCCAGCCTGGAGCCCCAGCAGGCCCAGGTGATCACACTTACATCCACACAATGCACTTGGGGTCATCTGATTTTTATCCATGCTCACCTGTAGTGACATTTTAGGGCTGGTTTTTTGCTGTGTTCGTGTGGGTAGCTGCTTGGTGTGTCTCTTGTGTGATTTTCAGTGCTCTGCCTTTGTGGCAGGACAATGTTTCTGGGGGGTTGGGGTGCTGGGGGTAACCTCTCCTGCCAGGCTGCTCTGAGGGACCTGAGAGGCATCACAGGGTTTATTCCTTCTCCAAAACCTGCTTCCTGGGCAGAGAAAATGTTTTCCTCGTGCTTTCATTAACTGATGGCAAGGGACAAAAATTAATAAATTGCAGCTCAGCTGCCAAGTCCTTGGCTTGATACAGCCAGGCCTGAGCTCCTCACTCCTCACCCCCATCCAGATCCCCATCTGTGCTTCTGCAGAGCCAGGTCCCACCCCAGGATGGTGTGCCTGGGAGTGGTGACAGTCCCTGGAGGGCAGCCAGGGCCACCCAGCAGCTCAGAGATCTGCTCTTACCTGGGCAGCACGAGGGGTTTGATGCCCCTTGACCAGCAAGAGGGAATCAAGAGGCACAGCTTAATTCTGATCTGCTTTTGGCCAGAGATGTTCCTTCTCCTCCTCCATGCAAAACATAAAGTATTTCTTTAAAAACCATGGCATTCCCAAGGGCCTAATTCGCCTGAGAATTCCCCAAGGGAAGCACTTTGTGAAAGAGGTGACCCTTGAACTCCTGGTAGGACATTTTTTGCAAGAGTCAGAATCCCAAAGTGAGATACTTTGTTGTAACCCCCCTTCTGAATTTCAGAAGCATTAAAATCCCTCCTTGCTTTAAAGCCAGCCATTTAAACCAGTCCTGCCAGCGCCCTGCCCCATCCCTGCTCTGTTTCACCCTCTAATTGACACACTGTCTTCTGCCCTCTGAATTTCTGCTTCCCACCATAAGCAAGCATCATCAGACCAGCCTCTGAGTTTGCTGCCTCTGTGCCCGTGACAGAAACAGAGAGAAAATCAGGTATTTAAAGCCAGCCCGACGTGTTTTTCCCTTCTCCTCCGCACACCAGTGGGTAGCAGCTCGGCAGGAGCAGCGTGGCACGTAGGCTTAGAGGAGTAGATTAGATTTGGGTTGTCTCTGGGTTGCATGGAGCTGCTAGACATCTGCTTCCCTTGGCTGCTCGTGGTGTTTTCGTGGTCAAGGTGGAGCTGTGGTCGTGCTCGTAGGATGCTTTGTGTGTGTGGTGAGAGGGGACACAGGGATGAGTTCAGGGGCAAGGGCTGTGGTCTGAAGGCAGTGGGAGCTTCCCAAGGGGGTAGAAGGAAGAGAAATCACAGAGTTACCCTTAGGAGGGATGAATTAAGTGCTGTTCTTTGCCTTCTGCAGTTCTGTTATTTCAAAGCCTTCCTTGAAGCCTGTCAGTTCCTTCCTTGCCATTTGTTACTTTTTTCCCATGTTCAGAAAAAAAAAAAAACACCACCAAAAAACCCAATCTTTTCCTTTTTAATTTTTTTTTCCTGCTTCAATTTTCCTCCCTCTGGTTCATGGTAGTCTCAGCAGTGCCATTTCACCTCTGGGAAAAGCAGGACCAGCCTGAGCCCTGCTGGGTGGTCACAAACTCCAGCAGAAAATGAGCACGGACAGCCTGGCTTTGGGGAGTGCCTGCAGGAAAAGGATCCCGTGTTTATGTTTAGAAAAGGACTTTTCCAGGCTTCTCCCCCACTCCTCCAGTGCTGTTTGCCCCAATGGTTTTTGCTATAAAATGTGACTTCTTAGTTCAATTTATTCCACTTCCTCAGGAGCCCACCAAGAACAGCAATTCCCACCAGAGCAATTTCCATCGTCTCCCATTTTTACGAAGTGGGTCTGGGGCAAAATGTGTCTCTCCCCATCTCAAAATGTAAAAGTGTCCATTATGGCCCAGAGCTACAAAGGAAAGGTTCTCAGGATAATGAGCATTAATAATTTTCTTGGCTCTGTAAATGCGATTGAGTGGAGGTGTATGTGAATGACTAAAAAGCAAAATGCCTCCAGGGCTGTTTTTTATTGTGACTCTAATTAAACCCTTGCCAATTTGCACAGGGATTTTTTCATATTCTCTTTAACACCATATTAATATCAATTGGTTTCCACTTTCCAGCTGAAAAGGACAATGTCTATCACCTTCTCTTAGAGCTTGTCATTAAAAAATAATCTTTTTTTTTTTCTTTTTTATTCTGTATTGTTTATCATCCCCTTGACGAAGCTGGGAAATCACATTTCTCTCCTACTCGGGTTTGTCCTTTGAAACTTGGCAAGGATCAAGAGATTTTTTTTTTCCTCCTCCTCCTTATGTTACCCAACTGGAGCTTGAAATTAATAATATGGCTTTTCAAAATTTTTAGTCCCTGGTTTGTTTTCTAGCAAACCTGAAGATTGTTACCAATATTGAGAAGCAGGGGAGGGGGATGGAGCCAGTGGGGGTGAGGGTTTGCAGGGAAACCAAACAAGTGAGCTATAAAATTTCTCGCTGGTTCAACTTCTCTGTGGTGGTTGGAAATTCTTTGATTTGTATTTCCGAGGGAACAGCAGAGCCTGAAGGAGGGCGTGGAGGTTGGGATTGGAAACCAGGGCTTGGTGCCTCCATCCCAGCTGTGTGTGCTGTTTCTCAGCTCTCGTTTCAGAGCAGAGGGCAGCAGGGCAGTGGCTCAGCTCAGCACACACTGCCCCTCACAATTCCAGGGCTCTGGTGCACAGAGACCCCCGTGGCACAGGGCTGGGTGTCGGATTTGGGGCTCTGTCTCCCTGTGGGAATAGCAGCTCCCCCAGTAACACAATTCTCCCTTTGATCACCCCAAGACTACCCCGGCTTGTCGGCAGCTGCCCCGCTGCAGGTGGGCTCTCCCCCGGCCCAGGCTGGCCCAGGAGCACAAGGTAGGAGCCACGGGGCTGGGCTGGGTCCTGCCAGCGAGGACCAGCTCGGAGAATGCTTTCTTCTAGCTCTAGATCTGTGTTTTCCGTGCCTCTCTTCTCCTCCTGCCTGGGAAAGAGCTCAGGGCTTGTCTGTGCCCTGCACTCAGCTGGGAGCGAGGCTGGGCTGAGCCTCGGGGTTCAGCTGCGTTCATGGAAGATGAGGATGGTGAGGGGGAGAAGGGATTGTTCACAGCTTGCTGCTGGGGTGAAGAGAGGATCATGGAAATGCTGTCATCTCCCGAGGCTCTGTCTGCAGAGCAGAATCTCCCTGCCAGTGCACAGGCTGTGTCATTTAGAGCTCAGATCCTTCCAGTGCATCTCCTTGCTCAGGTCTGCCTGGGGGGAGCCTTGGGAGGTTTCTCCCTGGCTGTTGAGGAGAATCTCAGTCCTCAGGGTTCCCACCACACACAGCTTTGGAAGCTGCCCTTGGTGCTCAGCTCCCGTTTCCCACCCCAGATTCCTGTAGCTCTCTCCAGCTGTAGATTTTAGCATCCCTCCTGTGCAGATCTCATGGCATCCTGGGCCTGTCTGGCCTCACAGAGAGGCAAAGCTGCTTTTGATGGAGTGACAAGGGATGGAGCTGCACCCAGGAGTGCTGACAGCCCTGACACTGCTCTGCAGACCTGGCTTCTCCCCGTGCCTGGGCAGTGTCAGGACCACAGGCCAACACTCAGCCATCCTGCAGCCCCCACACCTTCCCCTTAGGAATATTTTTCCTGCCTCTCTTCACACTTATAGATGCTAACTTCGAGGAGATTTTGTGTCTCCTTCCTGCTTCAGCACATCCTCAACCAGATACAGCTCCACTGACCCAGCCTAGAGCTTCCAGCGTCCCTTTGCCACCTTGTTAAACAAAGCAGGGGGATCTGATTTAAATCTGATGTTCTCTCTGATGCCACCAAACACAGCAGCACTTGGAGAGAAGCTGAAGGCACCAGACCCTCCCGAGAGCATACGAGGTAAGGCCAGGCTTGTCCCCAAGGCTGGGACAGGGCAGGTCCCTCCCTCAGTGCCACCTGTGCTCAGCACAACCCCCATTGTACAGCCTCCTACTCAGAGGGTCCAGCTCAGCTCAGCTCTGCTCATCCAGCCCCAGGGAGGTGTTTTTGGAGATGTTTGTGGCCAAGGAAAGCCATGGAGACCAGCAGGGCCCTGCTACCACAGGGATGGTGCTGGAAGCAGGAGTGGGTGCACTCTGACCATGGCCACCTCCTGCCACCACTGTCACAGGGAGGATGTGACCAACACAGGTGGCTGGAGCTGGCAGTGCCCACCCTGAGCACCACAGCACTTGCAAGTGGAGGCACAAGCTCCACAAAAAACCCACTGGAACCAGGACCCATTTCCAAACACCCCGTGGGATCTCAGTGCTGCCCAACCTTGCTCCTCACCAAAGCACAAAACCTCCCAAGGCTTGGTGGCCTTTACCCCCAGTGCTGGGTCATTCTGTGTGGGACAGGGGTCTGGCTGGCAGCACAACCCCCAGGGAGCCCCATTCCAGCTGGGACAGCCCTTTACCCTGAGGAAACACAGGAAACCTGGCCCTGGGGGCCCCCTCCCCAGCACAGCTCTCAGACCTGTTCTATCCTCTGGCGTAGCGGCTCCGAAGAGCAAACCAGGGCGCACAGCACACTCTGCAGGCAAGAAGCACGGGAAAAAAACAGGTATGTGCTGCTGGGGACGGGCCAGGCTGGAGCAGCACCTGCTCTGCAGAACCCCGTAGCAATCCCTGCCAGATGCCACCTCCGTGGCACTCGTCCTCCTCGCAGATTTTTGGGTGCCAGCTGGCGTGACCTCCGTCAGCCCAGTCCGTGGCCAGTAGGTCTGGTTTGTAAGCTGTAGATCCTTATCCCAAAATCCCACACCACGCCACCAAACACCCACGAAGGGGGCACGTGTGAGCAGCTCCTCCCAGCTCTGCAGTCGTGTTGTGCATTGAGTTATTCGTGCATTGAGGTTTTCATGCACCCAACTTCGAGGAGGGGATGGGAAGAGGAGGAATGTAGCAGCTCCCAGCTGTCTGGTGCAGAAATAGACGCCAGTGCTGCCAGCACGGTGCTCTTGGCATTGTTCTCGTGGCAGGGGAGGATATGGGGTGGTGCTAAGCAGTGAGAAAAAGCCTTTCTCTGATTTTTCTCAAGCATCCTCAAAGAGCTCAAAACTCATCCGGCTCAAACCAAACTCTGGCCCAGTGGCTCCCATTGAAACCTACAAAGGTAAGCAGAGGGAGGGCGGCGCCCCAGGGCTCCCTGGCCTCGCTCAGGTGATGTGGTCCTGCAGACTCAGACAAGGACAAGGTGGGGAGGGTCTGTCTGAGTCCTGGTTAGCTGTTGGCTGTGTGTAGCAGTGAAACAACACCTGGGAATTGCAGCAGGCAGTATTTGAGCTGAAATTCTTTGGGTATCAGTTGATGAGGGAGTTCTTTCACAGCGAGTCAAGATTACAAGAGACTCTCAGCTCCTCCTCAGGCAGCTGTGAACCATGGGGAAACCTCTGCCCTGCTCCTTCTTCCCTGGTCATCATGTCATCGATCACATCTCCTCCTCCAGCTGCATGTGCATGCCAACCCACACCCTTCCCCTCCATCCCTCTGCCATCCTCAAATGTTTAATGTTCTACTGGGAACAAAGCCCCAGCTCCAAACCTTTCTCCAAAGGCCCTGAAAGCTCAGAGCTGGCTGAGACTGTTTCTGCTCACGTTATCCCCTGTCCTTGCTGGCTGGGAGCCTCCTGACCAGGCCAGCTGAGCCACAAGTCACCTCCTTTTATCCTGAGTTGCACATCTCACTATATAAACACACATATAAATAAACTCCCAGTAAGATCCAGTACCTGGATCTGACACTGCAAGGCTGTCACCATCCCAAGTCATGGTAATAGAAAGCAAACACAAGAAGCACAAAATCCAACCCCCCTGACTACAGATTCACCCAGAGATGGTTGTTTTCTAACACATGCCCACAGCTGAGAGAGGTCAGCCCTGGGGACGGGAGCACTTGGCCAAGTGATGGTGGCATCTCCCACCCCACCAGCAGCCTTTGCAGGCAAGCCCTGGTTCAAACCTTCACACACCAGTCCACCAGCTGTGGAGGGCTCCCACACTGCCTTGCATAGGATTATCATAAACATTTAACCTGGGAGCCACGGCCCTTCACAACAGAAAGGCACAACAGGAAGGTACAACTGTCCCTGCTGAGAAGGGATACAGAGGGCAAAAGGAGAGGCTCTGAGGTTTTACCTGGACACGCAGCAGCTCCGTCTCCACTTGAGCACCCTCTGCCAGCCCCGTCCCACGAGCCAGTCCCCTCTGTCCCCAGTGAGGCACAGCCTTTGCCAGGGCTCTGCCCCCCAGCCCAGCTCCTCACAGGTCCTGCTGCCTCCCCAGAGCCAAACCCAGGCACGGAGCTCTGCTCATTAACAAGGCAGCTCTGTAATTAACATCTGACTCCCCTCCACTGCCTGCTCCCATAATTATGCAGTTTTTGAAAGAAATCACGTCCTGGGATTGCAGGGGGCTGGCTCCTGCCCGTCCACACCTCAAGATTACAGGGACCCTGACCCTGCTCTGCTCACTGAGTGATGATTTCCAGCCCGATCCCCACATGGTGGTGGAGAACTGTGTGTTGTCCTCCTGCCCAGCACACCCCAGCCCTGCTCTGGCAGTGGCCATGGCATTCCCTACAGCAGGACCCTCCTCCACGGTGGTTCCTCTCCTCCTGCCAGCACAAGGGAAATCGCTCCAGGCTCAATGTCCCCAGCTGTCCCCTCCTCTCCTCCCCAGACTGCGAGTGCTACGGGCACTCCAACCGCTGCAGCTACATCGACTTCCTGAACGTGGTGACCTGCGTGAGCTGCAAGCACAACACGCGGGGCCAGCACTGCCAGCACTGCCGGCTGGGCTTCTACAGAAACAGCTCCGCCGAGCTGGACGACGAGAATGTCTGCATAGGTGAGCACGGAATGCATGGGGGAGCACAGAATGCATAGGGGAGCACAGAATGTATAGGGGAACAGAGAGAATGTTTGCATGGGGAAGCACAGAATGCACAGGGGAGCACAGAGAATGCACAGGGGAGCAGATAATGCATAGGTGAGCACAGAATGTATAGGTGAGCAGAGAATGTCTGCATAGGTGAGCACTGAATGCATGGGGGAGCAGAAAGAATGTTTGCATAGGTGTGCATGAAGAATGTCTGCACAGGTGAGCACAGAGAATGTCTGCATAAGTGAGCATGGAGAATATATAGGTGAGCACAGAGAAATGTCTGCACAGGTGAGCACAGAGAATGTCTACACAGGTGAGCACGGCCCCAGGCAGCACCTCACTCTGTGAGTGGGCTTCATTCAGCCCCTCTCTGGAGGGCGTGGGGCCCACCTGCATGCTCTGCAAGGGTGGCAGCTGGTACAGTCTTTGCAGCCTGCCAAGGCATCTCTTCCCTGAAAACAAAGCCTAAAAATTATCATAGAGTCACCGAACACTTTGGGTTGAAAACTGTCTAGTTCCACCCCCTGGCACAGGCAGGGACAGGGACACCTTCCACTGTCCCAGGCTGCTCCAAGACTTGTCCAACCTGGCCTTGGACACTGCCAGGGATCCAGGGGCAGCCACAGCTTCTCTGGGCACCCTGTGCCAGGGCCTCCCCACCCTCGCAGTGTTTCTGACTGAATTCAGATGCCTTGCTCAGCCAGGAAGGGCTCAGCTCCAAAGAGGGGTGGCTCTTGCACCCGTGGCTGTTTGCACTGTTGGGGCCCTCAGGTCAACACATCCCAGCCCCTTGATCTCTAAGCTCTCTTCCACAGCACATCTCAGACTTTTCCAAAGCCCCCGACCCCTCCTTTAGAGAACTGCATGCACAGAACCCCGGGCAGGACCGGCTCTGACCTCCCTGTCTTTGGCCAGAATGTAACTGCAACCAGATCGGCTCCATGCACGACCGCTGCAACGAGACCGGCTACTGTGAGTGCAGGGAAGGTGCCACGGGGCCCAAGTGCGACGACTGCCTGCCCAACTACTACTGGAGACAAGGCTGCTTCCGTGAGTACCCGGCTGCAGCGCCACGGGGAGCTGAGAGGTGGCTCCCAACAGGAGCAGCATCTCCAGCACCGTTGGCTTGGTGATGATGCTCGGGGTGCAGGGCGAGCACATTCCGGCCGTTCCTCCCAAGTCCAGAATTACCTTATAGCTTTGCTCATAGAGTTTGCAGCCCTCTGCATTCTGCTGGCCTTGAAAGTGCTCTAGGGCTGGGAGGGCTGGATAATTTAACCCCTAGGAGCTAAAATCTAGTTCCTGCTGCAGGCAAGGGTAACACAGTGCAGGGTAACCCCA